TTAGCTAACTGTAATACAGCACATAATTTTATTGTCTGGGTTTATGTGCTGTATTACAGTTAGCTAATAGCGAGGCTAGAATGAAGATGCACCATGGACACTTGTTTACAGTAATAAAGGTGAAATCTTTTGCTAATGGGGATAAGATTTGCGAGGAGGCGTGGATAGAGATCACGAGCTAGAAATAGAGAACAGAAACCTTAGTTAAGTAGTTACAAAACCAAATCTAGAATCGACCAGGCTCGAGTCTAGGAGAAATTCGGATCAATCTAAATTTTAGATTTTTTAAAAAGATTCTAATATTATTTTTTATGATTTTTTTTTTATTGATCCAGCTTAGTGAGTCACAGAAACACTAGAGAGACATGAGCAATTTCCTTTTTTCTCACCTTTGATGTGGTATGGATTCATCATGGGATGATAACTTTTTTTTTTATTTTGATTTTTACAAGTTAATCCTATCTGAAGATGAAAACATATTTTCATGGATGTTGAACTGAATTATCTGATATTGTGCTAAGTAAGTAGATATAGTCTTTGCTCGGATCTAAATTTGAAAGAGGTTAAGAAAAAATAAAAGTTATCCACTTAGAAAGCAATTAAGGCCATGATTTTTTATTTTTATTTTTATTTTTATTTTGCTAGTGAAGGTCATGACTCTTTCAAAGGAAAAAAGAAGAAGAAGAGGAAACATTTATTCGGATGCCTGCTTTAAGCATCGAATCCTATCTGAAGATGAAAACATATTTTCATGGATGTTGAACTGAATTATCTGATATTGTGCTAAGTAAGCAGATATAGTCTTTGCTCGGATCTAAATTTGAAAGAGGTTAAGAAAAAATAAAAGTTATCCACTTAGAAAGCAATTAAGGCAATTAAGAAGAAGAAGAAATATTTATTCGGATGCCTGCTTTAAGCATCGAGGGGAGATGCCTCGAAATTTTACTTGCTTTAAGGTGCACGTTTTAAGGTGGTATCTTGACCTGCATATTAAATTAAATTAAATTAAGGGAAAAGTATTCTATCAAAATAGATTTTAAAAAATAATAAAATGAACTTAGTACTCCTTTATCACACTCACAAACTAATCATTGTTATTGTTTTCTGATGAGAGTTTATTCCAAGTGTTATTAATATGATAGAAATACATTAAAAAAATAAAAAAAAATCTTGAGTGAACTTAATATCCAAGTGAGGTAAGCACGTGATTTAGTACATTAAATTAGGATGATGTCATTAAAAGTAAAGTAATTTTTTTTAAAAATTACTTAAAAAAATCAAAATCAACTCAAATTAATTTTTTAGTTATATAACTTTTATCATGAAATTAAAGTGATTTCATTAAAAACAAACCTGAAAAGGTAAAAAAAACAAAATTTTTAACTAAATAAATATTGAGGGATAAAAATAAAGATAAAAAAATCAATAAAAAAATGCAAAACAAAAAAGAAATAGCAATTAAAGAAATTATAATTATATTCAACATAAAAACCAATTGAAATAAAATGTTAAGTAAAAATTTGAATGAAATTAAATGTTTAAGAAAGAAATTAAAAAAAAATCAATTAAAAAACAATTAAAATAATTGATACAAAATTCAATGAAAAGAAATTCATGATGGAGTTGAAGAAAAACAAGTAAATAAGGAAAATGATTGAAAAAAATAACAATAAAAAAACAAGAACAAAATTTAATTAGTAAAATTAACAAAATCAAACAATTAGAAAAAAATTTAAAAAATCAATCATATAAAAAAAATGATATAAACAAAATAATTACAATTAAAAAAAATAACTTCGTCATAAAAAAATAATTGTAGGCTAATATAATTTTTTGCATGGTTAATATATAATTAAAAAAAAAATCAAATCTCATTATTATATATATACAGCTTATCTAAAATAAAATAAAATAAAAATATCAAAACACAACAAATAATATAACAAAAGCTTAATTTCAATCATTATTATCAATTATCTAGTTGCTAAAAGCAGCAAAGCAGTTAAGAATCACGCATCAATAACTTTATATATATATATATATATATATATATTCAAAGTTGTTTACATGTAATAATCATGTTTTCTAGATCTTAAATGATTGGTAGCAGCATGCATGAGCCGATTCAAAACATCAAAATACATATGAAACATACCAAAATTAAAAAAGAAAAAAAAGTATTGTTCATGAACCGAAGAATATACCACATGGATATGCGCCATATAGCAAACAGAAACATCAAGACACCTATTATTTTAACACCGAAACCCCACCTCTCAAAAGAATTAAAGTGACTGATGAATCTGAGGGTAGTTTAACTTATTATTATTATTATTATTATTTTTAATTATTATAAACTTCAATTTAGATTTATATAATTATTAATTTTAAAATTTATAAAATTAATTAAGTAGATATAACCAAGCTTGAGTATTTATATTAATAAAATAAAAAAAGCAACAGATGAAAATGATGATGCGCAGCCTTATCTTCCTATTTATAAACAGGCTGCCATGTTATATGGAAGAAATAACCACAGCTGTTTTGACGGCGTTAACATGGAAGAAATTGGACCCCTTTTGTTGCCTAGTTATGCTAGTCAATTTCCAGCACGTCGCCGCTGCAGGAATTTTTTTATTTTTTCTTTTACAATATTAATAAACGTTAATTTTGTTTTTTTTAAATTGTGATTGTTGTTATTTTTTAAAATATATTTTATTTTATTATAATATATTTTTTATTTTTAAAAAATATTTGTGATAAAAACGTATTAAAATAATATAAAAAATATTAATTTAAAATAAATAAAAAAATATTTTTAAAAATTTTTAAAATATAAAAATAAATATATATTAAAATATTACGATGACCCCGCCACACGAGTTTGAAAGCAAATTTTGTGGGAGGTGATGGCTGTATCCCAGTAGACTCAGTGGGTGCAAGAAAAAAAATATTTAAGAAAACAACACTTTTTTATAACAAAAAATTCAAAAAAATGATGCTCTTATTTACGTGGTCGAATCAAATCTTCCCAGCTTTATAGTCCTTTTGATTTATGAGAGAGCACAATCTTTTTTTATGAAAAGTCGAATCATCTAGCAAAAAAAAAACATTTGTATTATAGTTGCATTTTAAAATATATTTTATTTTATTATAATATATTTTTTATTTTTAAAAAATATTTGTGATAAAAACGTATTAAAATAATATAAAAAATATTAATTTAAAATAAATAAAAAAATATTTTAAAAAATTTTTAAAATATAAAAATAAATATATATTAAAATATTACGATGACCCCGCCACACGAGTTTGAAAGCAAATTTTGTGGGAGGTGATGGCTGTATCCCAGTAGACTCAGTGGGTGCAAGAAAAAAAATATTTAAGAAAACAACACTTTTTTATAACAAAAAATTCAAAAAAATGATGCTCTTATTTACGTGGTCGAATCAAATCTTCCCAGCTTTATAGTCCTTTTGATTTATGAGAGAGCACAATCTTTTTTTATGAAAAGTCCAATCATCCAGCTAATATGAAAAAAAAACATTTGTATTATAGTTGCATTTTTTGTATATTAATTCTTTTTATTTGGAAAATAAAGGGATGCTATTTATGCTTAATAAAATAAATTAAAATTAAACAGCATGTTAAATACAAAAAAAAACACTAATTAGATAATAAAATGAAAAACTAATATTCTTAAGAAAATAAAGATAATGCGAACGCAAATTTTTTTTTAAATAATGAATAAATGGGTAACCAAATAGTATAGGCACCATACGAATACCAGCGTTGCAATTTTTCACTTTATAAATTATATAAATAAATTTTACTTTATAAATTGCAAAAAATAATTTTGAATACATGATAATGAAAAATAATAATTACTGAGTATTAAACAAGAACACGAAGAGCTGATATGTGAAGAGCTGATATGTTAATGTCCCTTGGTATTATATACGAAAGTGGTTCTAAACTCAAGAAGAAATAATAAGAAAAAACTCAAGGGATCACTCAGTTGTTAGTAGTTTATTTAAAAATATGGTTATAGTTATTTTTTAAAATATTTTTTTTGTTAAAATATATATTAATAATATTTTATATTTTTTATATTAATTTTAAAAAATATAAAAATTTTAGATTTTAAAAATATAAAAATAAACAAGTTCTAGACAGTGAAACTCACCACTGGATCCTACATTAAAATCATTATCTGGTGGCTCACAATCTTTTATTTTTTTATTATTTACCGTTTATTTATATATTACACCTATCAATCATCGAACAAATATATATATATATATATATATATATATATGTATATATAATATTCAATTGAAAAGAGCAAAAAAAAAACGGAAATATTTTAGGTATAATATAGAAGTACTTGCTTCAAATTAGGATTATGATTTTAATTAGTACATCAACCATCTATTATTTTCAAATTATTTATTTATTTTTAAAAAACTTATTTTTCACATAAACATGTTAAAATAATTTAAAAACACATAAAAATTAATTTTAAACTAATATAATTTTTTAAGAATTTAAAAAATACTCAAACACATATTTTATTATCATTTCGCGAGGATCACTGATATTTAATAATTACATAACTGTATATTTTTAAACTAGATTTAGTATTAATATTAATAAAATATTTTTTTATTTTTCTATACTAATTAATTAAAATGTGATTTTACAAGAGAAAATGCATAAAATAAAAAAATAATTCCACTTTATTTATTCAATAGATACATGAATGACAATTATAAATGTATTAGGCTGCAATGGATTCATGTATATCAAAAAAAAAAAAAACTTTATAATATAGAGTTTAGTATTATGATATTAATTATTTTTTAAAATATTTTTTATTTGAAGATATATTAAAATAATTTTTTTTAAAATTTATTTTTAATATTAATATATTAAAATAATTTAATATTTTTAAAAATAAAATAAAAATTTGGAATTTATACAGCGTTGCGAAACGCGCTTTCAACTTTCCCAAAGCCAGCAGCAGCAGCAGCATCGGTTCTTTCTCTCCCCTTTGGACACCAAAATAACATCACAGTACTTCCGCACAAATCAATACCGATCTCCACAACACAAAACTCCCAGAATCAGTTTCGCTCAGAATTCCATGGCAGAGAAACCTGAGCCATTGAAAGTGCTATACTGTCCAATATGTTCTCTCCCTGCAGAGTATTGTGAATTCGGTCCTGATTTCGAGAAGTGCAAGCCTTGGCTCATCATAAACGCCCCTGAACTCTACCCTGATCTCCTTAAAGGTACACCCTTTATTTTTATTTTGTTTCAATCTTGAAAACCCAGAAGTCCTATGTTTGTTTCCTTCTGCAATAACTGGTAAAAAGACGCAAAGAATTGATTTTTTTTTTTTTTTAATTTTGGGCTGGCAGAGGCTAATGAAAAGGAGGCTAATTTCGGGCTGGCAGAGGCTAATGAAAAGGAGGCCGAGAGGGTTTCTGAGCAACTGCAATCAGCTGGAATTTCCTCAAGTGGTGCTGATGGGGCAGCTTCTTATGTTCAATCTGGTAACTCCAGTTTTTGACACTGTTCCACTAAAGGATTTTTGTTTTTAATGTGTGCTTGTTTAAAGAAATAATACACTGGGCATTATTACTTTTGTTCTCCAAAAATTAATCTTTTTTTTGTATTTTTTTTTTGTTTCAGGAGTTACATCGTCATCCAAGCAAGAAGAAGTGAAAAGGCTTCCAGGTGGAAAAATCAAGAAGAAAGTAAGCACTTATTTTGTTTCTGTTTTTTGTTATAGTTATGTTACTTGTAATTCTACTTAATGGGTTCGTACAAGATGCTTCTGATCTTCATGTTCAGAGGTATGTTAAAGCGTGTCTCACAGTAAAAGGGGGAGAAAAGGATAGATAGCGGGGTGTAAGTGTGTCGTTGTTGTTTCTTGGAAATGCTATCAGGTTTTCATTCTTTGATAGCATGGCATTGCAGTCGAGCTTGGCCAAAGACACGTGAAGTTTGGAATTATAAAAATGAGTTTTATGATTTTTGATAAGTTCAACTAGCAACCATTATCAATAGTCTTCAGTTTGAAGATGAGACATTGATTCTCTCTGTGACTTGATGATGCTTCAAATAGCTCTTAATACATCTGATCATGCATGTGGTGCATTTTCTGTCATATTCTTCACCTCCTCCTGTCTTGAAATTTCAACATAGGTGCATTAAAGGTTTGCTTCTTGTTAATATGGTGCCAATTATGTGTTGGAAGACTCTTGTCTCTCAGATCTTTTTGGATAACCGGCTTTTGTCTCATCAATGAAAAATAGTATTGATTGTTGGCCTATTGTTCATGAGATGGTTTTGTACTGGATTTAATTTTTAGGTAAATATAATGATCTGGTATTATTGGATGACCTCTTTACTGTACAGGCAAGACAAGAAGTTGTAATTGAAAAGGTTGTTCGCAACAAGCGCAAATGTATCACCATTATTAAAGGATTGGACCTATTTGGTAAGCTGGATGTTGAGTTGACTTCAAACCATTATCTTGTGGTTTCATGGGCTGATTACTAATTGCCAAAGTTACTACTTTTTCCCATGCTATGAAATATTTTTGTTCAGGTATTAAATTGAGTGATGCTTCCAAAAAGCTTGGGAAAAAGTTTGCTACTGGAGCATCTGTTGTTAAGGTGCACCAAATGCCTCCTATGATTATCCAATTTCTTTCCTTTTTATTCCACTGAATGATAATTTTTTTCTTTTCTTATTGCTTGGTTTTCAGGGCCCAACAGAGAAGGAACAGATTGATGTTCAAGGAGATATAGCGTATGATATTGTGGAATTCATCACAGAGACTTGGCCTGATGTAATTTCTTCTAGCTTCCTTTTCTTTCTTCTTGTTATCCTCCCTGACTTTCTTCTTTTTAGTTGTCTTACTATCATCTAGGCATAGGATGTTTTTAAATTACTGATAAGAAACACATCCAAATTCACCTTACTAAAGATTGCGTGTGTGTTTTGCTTTGTGGTTGAGTTGCCAAAAAGCAAGTTTTGAGTCAAAAGTTGATTTGTGGGTGTTTAGTTAAGTATACAGAACCATGATTTTGAAGCCTCAAGACTCTTAAAACCATGGTTTTCAGAGCCCAATCCCATGTAGAGCTGTGCACATAAGCAGTTGAAGCATTCACTTTTTAGTTCTTTGCATTGCCAACGTAGTTATAGCTTGATATTGATGCTAAAGAAAGATTTTATGTGTCCGATTCTGTAAGGGAAAGATCCATACTAGTCTATACAGAGTTTACAAACTTTGCCAGAAGTTCTTATACTCATTTAATGGCACTACTACATTTTGATTTATCAAGCATGCTGTAGTAATTATGTTATGAATAGTGTGTTCTCTATTGGACTATGTACACACTAAATCATGATGCAGTTAAGTGATTAGTTTTCTTTGGAATAATTCTTTTGAAATTTTATTTGTAAGAGCTGAAATTGACGTTTGAAAATTACAAAATCAAAAGTTGCTCAGGTTGGTTTGAAGAGCTTCAGAATAATGCTTCTTCTTCTTCTTCTTTTTTCCCATTGAGCGGAACTTCTTTTTGTTCTTTCAAAAATATCTGTTTTGTATCTTTAAATTTTCATCGCGGAGGTAGAGCTAGAGCTAATCAATTGATTGCCTGCATTTTTTCCCCTCTCTTCCATGCGTAACTGGCTCAAGTTTCACTGTTCTTCCTTCCAGGTTCCTGAAACCGCCATTTACTTCATTGAGGACGGGAAAAAGGTTCCAGCTGCTTGATGCTTGCATTCCAAATGAAAGTCGGATTGATTTTTGATTTTGAAATGGTATATTTATAAATCAGCGTTATTTACAGAATGTAACTTCAGATTATTACTTTTGCTTGGATGAATTCTCACGAAATCAATTTTAGTAGGGGAGAAAGAGCAATGGATGCATGCATCAATGAATCTGGAGTATCTTATGTCTTCAATAAATCCATGAATTTTTTCACCGAATACATGGTAAATTAAATAGCAAGTGGTGATTTCGCGTCGCCTAGAGCTAGCTGTACACCTTCTCCCGATACCGCATTCAAAGCTTTATGTTAATGCCGAGGAAGAAATCCACATCTTTATGTAATCACGTAGACTCTTAGTTTGTATGGTTGTATACAAACAAGCATGGCTTTTAATATAATAGATATATTATTAGTAGCATAACAGATAATTGAATCTAGCTTTAGAATTATATTTTTATCATATCACTTCAACGTCATGGAACAAGGAAAAGAACTAGCTTGAGAGAAAGGTGCGAAGGATAGAAATTGTTGTGAGCTATAGTCTTGTGACTGCCATATCTTCAATATGTGTGTGTGTGTGTGTGTGTGTGTGTGTGTAGATAGCCATTTCTAGCTAACTTTGATGTAGTTTGTATAATAGACTATAATATAATAGATGCCATGCTAATAATATAACACATAACTGAGTCTGAGTTGGAGATTATGCTTGATCATCTACTTAAATACCCTCAAGCATTAAGAGGCTAGCAACGTGAAATTTTTTTATGAAGAATCCCTAAATTTGTCAAATTGATTCCTGGATAGGGAGAAAAGTTTGCATACTTCCATGATAGCTTGAATACCGTAGTTGATTAAAAAAAAAAATAATTTCTTGCTACCCTAAATAATTGGTCTAATATTTTTATTTTAAAAAGGGTAAGATCAATGTAACATCACATTGTTTCAATGACTATTTGATGGCCTGTTTTTGTTTTTGTGCTGCGAGCTTATACCATAAGATTAAAAATAAATATTTAAAAAAATTAATAAATATAATTTTTTTAAAATTATAATAATAATAAAAAAACTATGTAAAAAAACATTATAGCAATTTATAGTTTTTTATGAAAAAAATTACAATTTTTATTTCAAATAATTTAACCTTATAATTATAATTTTCAACATGTTTAATATTAAAAATATAAAATTAAAAAGAAAATTTAAAAAAACATTAAGAAACAAAAAAAATCATGTGAAAGAAACACTGTAACAATCTATAGTAATTTGTGAAGAAAACTATATTGTTTTTCTTATATATAATTATAACTCTCAACAAGTTTAATATTAAAAAATAAAATTAACAAAGATAATTTTTAAAAAAATTATAAAAAACAAAAATAACAAAGAAAAATCACGTAGAAGAACACTTTAGTAATCCACAATATTTTAAAGAAAACAATCACAAAGCTAAATTTTTAACCAACTTCAAATTTAAAAAATAAAATTGATAAATATAATTTTGAATAAAATAAAAAAATAAAAAAACATGTGAGGAAACGCAATAGCAATCCACATTGTTTTGTGAGAAAAACTACAGTTGTAATTTTTAACTAACACATTATTAAAAAAATAAAATCAATAATGTTTTTTGAAAAAAATCATAAAAAACTATGTGGGGAAATATTGTAGCAATTTATAATTTTTTTTTAAAAAATTACAAAACTAAATTTTTAACCAGCTTAATATTAAAAAAATAAAATTAACAAAAATAATTTTGTGCAAAAAAATAAAAAAATAAAAAAAAATTAGGAAAAAAACCAAAAAAAGACAAACAATTTTGAAAAAACCATAACAAAAAAACTGTAGAGAAACATTGTAATAATTTATAGTGTTTTAAAAAAAATTATAAAACTAAATTTTTAACTAGCTTAATTTTTTTAATAAAAAAATTAAGAAAAACAAAAAAAAAATTGTGAAAAGAACAAAAAGAAAAAAGAAAAACAAAATTGGAGAAAAAAAAAAATTCTAATAATTCATGATAACATATAAAAAAAAAGATTACAATACTTAAGAGAAGTACTTATTGCCTACACAATTATTCACTTATCCCTTTTATTTTTTTTAAATAATAACTGGAGGGAGACATATAAAAAAAGAAAAAAAAAAGAAACAAAAAATTCTCTCTTGGAGTCTGGATGGATAAAACAAGGAATATACCTCACCCCCTCACAGTTCGATTCTTCCCTCAAAACACCCAGTCACTGTCTTTGTCCATAATCCCTCAAACAGCTTCTCTTCTTACAATCATCTTTTCTTGGTCTCAAGGTAATCGATCGCCACTCTTTGTTTAACGACATTCAAGCTTTTTTCTGTTTTATTATTGCCTATCCTTTTCAGGTTAAGAAAGAGCATTGATCCTTAAACTAGTCAGGGTGTTTAGGAGTTGTTGTTTTGTAACTTGTGCAGCAGCTTACATCTAGTGATGCTGTTTAATCGGTTCCTGATTCCTGTTTTGTTAACTAAATTATTCCAGGAGGGTTGCAATTTGTGTTGCTTAATTCAGCATGAATATATGAGAATTATTATTTTGAAACTTTCTTTTCTTTTCTTCATGATCTTTTTTTTTAAAGATTATTCTAATATGGATTTTACTACAACATGCGGCCTCGTTAAGCACTGCTCCTTGCACTTCACATTTGCTCATTTGAATGAATGGAATTGGTGTTTGCCAGTGTTTGTAAATTATAGTAGTTTTGTTCTTAGGAGGGAGATTGTTGGTTTTTTCTTGTGATTTCACTTACCCTTAATCGTATTTTGATGAAAGTCTACCTAAAAGTAGATTGTATCTCTGATATTTTCAATGCCTGTGGGTCTTTGTTGTTGGGATAATCTGAAATATAATTATGCCTGAAGTTCAGTTATAATGATCTCTTAACTTCATTATTTTTTGACAATCTGGATATTTTCCAGGTGGATGTGGGTTTGGTTGTTCTGAACCAAACATCAATATGGCTCATCTGCTTTCCACTTCTTGCTCGATAAAGTTGTCATCAAGCCACAGACCTTTATCTCAGCCATTTCATCAATGCCCAACGAAGTGCCTTACATTTTTTACGCTGGGAACTTCAAAATCTCCATTTAAAAGGTTTGTTTTGCAAGGAGGAACACAGCAAACAAGCTGTGTTGTCCGTGCAACCATGGCTCCTATAAGCCAAGAAACTCCAACACAATCCAGCTCTGATTCTCGACAGAATTCCAGTGAACCATCCAAGCCTAAGCGGGTCATGGTTATTGGTGGAGATGGCTACTGTGGTTGGGCCACTGCCCTCCACCTATCCAACAAAGGTTATGAGGTTGCTATCGCTGACAGCCTCATTCGTCGTCTCTTTGACCAACAACTCGGTCTAGACTCCTTGACTCCTATTGCTTCTATCCACAACCGTCTCCGTTGTTGGCGATCAGTCACTGGAAAAACAATTGAACTCTATATTGGTGACATTTGCGACTTTGAGTTCCTGTCAGAAACCTTCAAGTCTTTTGAACCTGATGCTGTAGTCCATTTTGGGGAACAACGGTCTGCTCCATATTCAATGATTGATCGGAACAGAGCTGTTTTTACTCAGCACAACAATGTGATTGGAACACTTAATGTGCTCTTTGCTATAAAGGAATTCAGGGAGCAGTGCCATCTGGTGAAACTTGGGACAATGGGAGAGTATGGAACACCAAACATTGATATTGAGGAGGGTTATATAACTATTACTCATAATGGAAGAACAGATACTTTGCCTTTCCCCAAGCAAGCCAGCTCTTTCTACCATCTTAGCAAGGTCCATGACTCAAATAATATAGCCTTCACTTGCAAGGCTTGGGGAATTAGAGCAACTGATTTGAATCAAGGAGTGGTTTATGGAGTAAGGACAGATGAGACTGAGATGCACGAAGAGCTCTGTAACAGGCTTGATTATGATGGAGTGTTCGGAACTGCATTGAATCGGTTTTGTGTCCAGGCTGCAGTTGGTCATCCACTTACTGTTTATGGAAAGGGGGGTCAGGTGAGACCTTGGTTCAACAATAGCATAGCATTTCTATTCCACATCGCTTTCTTCTTTCATAAACATGTGGACAGATGATAATTTATAGTACTGAAAACAATTCTCTGATATTTCAAGTTAGGTGCTGAGGACAAGAGCTTGATAATTGTAATATAGTTCTTAGCTTGTAGCTTGAAACTCAATGCTTCGTAGTGTCCACTTTCATTTTCTTTAAAATTCAGATCCTGAAGATAGCCTTATATAAAAAAATTATGTAAATGCTTTACTGTGGCATCACTCTTCCCAGAAGATGCTTCTGAGGAACTGTTATACTGGAGAATATGATCTGGAAGGCTTTTTCCTATTTGCTTATGATGTGATATTCATTAAAGAAATGAGACCACCATAAACTAAGTTGCTCATATTATGCTGTGCAGTGTGAGAAACCTAGATCCTGACTTGCATAGCTATTTTTGTTTGATGTTCACATCAGGCTATACTCCAAAATTGGATAATGCCTTGTCACTAGGAATTAATGTGGCGTATGAACAATATAGTAGTTTTCATTGATTCACTGCTTATCACACATGCCATTTCAATACAAACATATGCTAAAGAATGACTTTCCTTTTGTCATATCTTTTATGTATCTTTGTATTGTTGGCTTCAATTTGGTTCTTGGGAGAAATTTGTACGTATATATTGTTGTGTTTTTTCCCAAATGGTGATCTATGGATTTGTTTATATCCTGCATGTACATATAAGATTGCCTTTAATTAGTTTGTTCTCTAACTTTCTAATTCATGCAATTCAGACCAGGGGCTACCTTGACATAAGAGACACTGTCCAGTGTGTTGAACTTGCCATTGCCAACCCGGCGCAGCCTGGTGAGTTTCGTGTCTTCAATCAATTTACCGAGCAATTTTCTGTCAACGAACTTGCTTCTCTTGTTACAAAAGCCGGAGAGAAGTTAGGGCTTGATGTGAAAACCATATCCGTGCCCAACCCAAGAGTAGAGGCAGAAGAGCATTACTACAATGCTAAGCACACAAAGCTCATTGAGTTAGGGCTCAAACCACACCTTCTTTCAGATTCTCTTCTTGACTCTTTGCTCAATTTTGCCATTAAATTCAAGGATCGGGTTGATACAAAACAAATAATGCCCAGTGTTTCTTGGAAAAAGATTGGTGTGAAGCCAAAGACTCTTGCAGCTTAATCAAGCATGGATGGTTAAAGGCTGTTCAGCTGAGAAGTTGCATTCATCTTGGTCTTATTTCTCTCCTTGCTACATTTTGTTTTGGTAGGTAGTGTGGCATTTCTTAGCATTCTACTGAATGTAGTATGTAATCATTTCCAGCTGTAATTTATGCAAGTTACAAGTATGAGATCCTGTCTTCGAAATTCTAGGGTTCTAGGATTTTGTTGGCGGGATGGTGACTTGTTTTCCTTGTGCTTGTGTATTTACTAAGATGGTCAGAATGGAATACTTCATGAAAGAAACGAACGAATCGATCTCTGGACGAACAATTGAGAGTTGTTCGCTCATGTCTCAGTATTGACCAACAGGGGCGAATGCTCGCTATTAGGCGTTTTCAGTGATGCGCTGGTCTTATTTTCTGCTGTGCAATTTTGATATTCTTGGTAGCAGTTTAACAATGATTACTCCAAAAGTTTCTTCTTAAAATCCTACTCTTTTCTCAAAACAGAAGTCTTGATAGTAATGGTTTTGCCGTATTTAGAGATTCATAAAAATAAAAACACGTTTTTTTTACCAAAGGCCTTTTCATAAGTTCAACAGTGCATATAATTTTGAGGGAAATATTCGCTGTCATACAATTTGTGACGGAAGTGGCCGAATCATATGACTTGAAGCTTCATTTACGTGCAACAGAATGCCAAGCTCATGACACAATGCCCAAAATGCGTGGACAGTTACTGGGAAAATTCTTAACCAGACTGACTGATCTGCTGAGTACGTTTTATATCCATTTTTCAGGTCATGCCGTCATGCAAGGAAGTGAGTGATGACACACAATAGCTCAACTTGTAGCTCCAGGAACTCTTCCAAATGACTTGCAACTAATTTCTCTTATTGCTTAGGGAGCTAATTTATTCCTCTGACGTCAGTGAAACTATCACAGTCGAGAACGAAAAGAATGATCCTTCAATGGTAACTTAGGCATGTCTTTTTCTGCCTTAAAATTTTCCCTCAAGAAATCAAGTACAACCGAAGTTAACTCGCCTTGATGTGAAGTATATTCATGATTAGCTCCCTTTATGATGTGTAGTTTATGATTTGGTATGAACTTGGCAAATTCCAAAGCATCTTCAGCTGGTACAATTTTATCCATGGATCCATGGACTGTCAATACCCTGTAATTAACAGCATTAAGATCACAACACCCAACAATTTGAAAATACTGTAATATACTGCAAGAAGCAACAAAGAACAAATGATAGGATAAGCCGGAGCTTCCACAAGATGTTTCGAGACAGAGATCAATGGTATGCTCTTCAAATAGTTTGTGACTTGGGATGTTGCTATTTTCTTATTCCAGTTCAATTCAGGGAAAGAAAGTACCAAAACAATATCTCCTCCCCATAAATATTACATGGAAAAACATATCAACCATGTGTGAAAATGAATGGTTTGCAATTTCTGACCTGCACTCTTGTTGAATCAACAAGCAGACTGCATGGATATCAGTAGTTAATCGATCCTTCAAACTTTCTTCAGTCACACGATACTCAAATTTTCCTGCAACAGGACAGTAAAAATTAACCAGGTGCTGGGTTAATCTAACGAACAAACACCACCCAATATCAGCTATGAGTGATGGTATTTCTTAAGAAAATTCACAAGAAAAGGTTTCATTTATACAATTGAGCCATTAGATTAGCAAAACCCACATTTGGGTCCCACATTAAGCTCATGATCCAGTGGCCTACAATCTTCTTAAAACTTGTCCTTGTTAAATATAATTTCTCATCAGCGATGTCTGGCAGGCAGGTAACTACACAATGCCTTGTTATATCAAAGATAGACAAGCATCAAATTCTAAATTCTAACATAATATGCAATCGAGGAACAATACAGGGACAAGGATCTATTAGCATATGAAAAAATCACACGCAGTCGCTTACCTTTTCTATTAAAGACATCTATATATCCATGTTGTTTGAGTCTTAGAAGAAAGTCTTTACCCAGGCGGCCTTCCATGCCTTTCTCCAGGTTAAACCGGCCAGAAATATTAACCACTGTATGGACATCATTGTACTTTGAAGCATACAAGAGCACCACATTTCCACCTGCAACACAATCTTGGATCAAACTAGCCCTTCAAAGAAATCAAGACAAAAATCACAATAATATATATTTTTTTTTTTACATTTGATTTTCCAGATTCAGCTAAATTTTAATGAAGCATATTGTGCATGTAGCAAGATCACAACTTTTCTAAAGAATTGTCATAAATTCATTAGACATAATCAAAGTGGTTCCACTTCAGATGAGAGAACATTTCTTCAGCACTCAAGAGGATCGCAATTTCAAATAAAAATTTATCAGTGTTAATAATAACACCCTTACTCGACCCATGAAAACCTTGCATTCACATAACTTCAATATTCTAGTACACCAGTAGACATATATGGAGTGAATATTATGCTATTCAAATGCCAACAAAAGGCTACATGAGAGGAAAAAAAGATTCACACAAATTTCCAGACATACTGTCTAATTTAATTTATTTTTTGGTTCTTTCATTCTACATAGACTGAGCAAGGAAGCAAACAGACCTTTACTGTGTCCAATAACTGCACTTATCACACGATTGTCCCTACGAAAATGTTGAACCACAGCACGTAAATCCTCGGCTTCTCTACGGTAGTTACCATACTGAAATGAGCCTTCACTTTCCCTGGAAGGTGGAGAATAGAAACATCCGTAACAATATTTCGTCATCAATCTACTGACCTTTTTCTTTGTCTAAAAGATGAAGTTCGCAATGCGGAGTCTACCCAATTGTATGCAAACAAAAGGTAGAGAAGCAACCACAAACACCAAAACGATCATTGACAGATTCATCTGCCTATTATCTCACTCTGTTAAAAATAATTGATGGGATGTGCTCTCATTCTCTTTAATAGCAAAGAAAGCTTACCCATTTCCAGCAAAGTCAAAACGGAAGGCACTGATTCCTTCTTTCTCCAGAGCAGCGGCGAGGTTTACCATTGGTATCCGTTCCTGTACATACACGGTGCAAAAACATCAAAAAGATTAACCAATAGTTTTGGTTAGACAGAACGGACATACAAAAGGAGCAAAATATGTTCTTGTAGAAGGGAAAAAACAGAATAGATAATATAAAAAAAAAAAATCACCTTTGACGACTGAAATCCATGGCACACAATAACAAGCTGTTTAGAACCAGTTTCATGTAATATCCCAGAGAGCTTCTCGCCATGGTTGTTCTCTATAACAACTCTCCGTTGTTGGACAGCTGCCAACAGATCAAACACACATTTATACACACGGATGATCATGAGAGAGTATTGACAATTCATAAACATTGAAAGCTAAAATGAAACTGACCCAACACTACGAACATCACAATTCTCATAAAACCAATGCCTCCAGTATTAGAAATTCATAGAACACTATCAATTTTAAATTTTCAACGACACTTTTACGACCCATATCAGATAAATCATAAAGAAGGCTCAGAAGATAAAAAAAAAAAAAATATTCTTGTCTGGATAAAAAATTTTGAAAGAAATGATTTTGTTCTGTCTATAATTAAATCAAGTGGTGGGCGGGCCACCTTACCTCGGTTTGCAAGGGACTGAGTCATGGGAAATGGTGTTTAGAGTTTTGAGTAAATTTAAGACGCGGTTGGTGATGGAAAGAGCAGAGCAGAGCAGAGCAGAAGGAGTCTCAACACTCAACACTCGATGATTTATGTTTTGAGAAACCTGAACAACGTGAGGCCTTGTGATCTTGGTGGTTGTGGACTCGTGGTGCTGGACGCATGCCATTAAGCATGAGACCTAGGGAAATGGGGCAACAAAAACATTTGATGTCTTACAAGAGCCATGAATGAATGTTTGGTTTCCATCATTTTTCAATACTATTTTAAGACTACATTGGTGATTTAAGTAGTGTGATTAAAAAAAATCTAATAGTAATAAATGAATATATAAAAAATATAATGAAAAAAATTTTAAAAATTCATTCTAAATCAACCTAAATTATTAAAAAACTCAATAAAAAAAAGTAAAATAAAAAAAAAAACAAAGAAAAACCCTGAGTTCAACTAATTTAACTCACAAACTTTGTAACTATAAAAAAATATTATAATAACCTCATAAAAAAAGTATCAGCAAAAAAATTTGAATACTAATTCCTAATAAATCAAATAAAAACATGATAACTTTACAAAAAAAAAAGTTTAATTTTTAACAAATAAAATATTGAATGATAAAAATTAAAAAAATATATAATTTAAAAAGATAAAAGAATTGATCTTAGCCCACTTAAGTCAAGATACAAAATCTCTAACATAATTGTGATACTAGGGTGAGCATGGTCGAAAACGAATTGAATAATGACATGAAACTAAATTATTGAATAATTTATTGTTAAAGGATAAAAAATAAAATTTATTTTTAAAAAACAAGCAATTTAAAAAATATAAGTTAACACACAAACCCCGCGGCAATAAAAATCATGAAATCCTCGAATTAGATTTAATAAAAAAACTTAATTCTCAACCAGTTTAATTTTAAAAAGATTAAATAGTGAAAAAATCAATTTAGAAAAATTTTCAAAAGAAAAGACAACAATAAAAAGAATAAAGAACAAATTTGATAGAAAACAATAAAGCATGAAATTGTAAAAGAAAAAATAATCGAGATAACCCAATAGAAAAAAATAAAAAAAAAAGATATGAAAACCAATTTTCAATAAATAAAATGTTAAATAATTTAATTAAAAAAAAGATTCAATTCATGTTTATCTTTGAAATCAATGACCATAGCCCTGAAACCTAAAATTAACTCTATAACAATAGAAAAAAATCTTAATTAACCTAAGTTAAGTCACAAGCCTTATGATCATGAGCACAAGACTAGGATAACTCAATAGAAAGGGAGAAAAAATTAATTTGAAACAAATTAAATGTTAAATAATAAAATTTAAATAAATTAATTTAGAAAATAACAAAAAAAAATCAATTTATGTTAACTTTTGAAACTGATGAATCTGGTAACGAACCCAAAACTAATCTCATTAAAGAAAAACTACAAAAAATAATAAAGCAAATCTCTAAAAAAAAAAGTAAAAAAAAAAAAACTTTTAAAAAGAAAAAAATTCAAGCCCACTCCGGCAAATCTCGTAAACCTGATATAATATTTAAAACTCATAATCCGTGAAATCCTTGAACAAGGTTCAATAAAAAAAAGTTAATTCTCAATCAATTTAATTTTAATTAAGACTAATTTAAAAAGCTTGTCAAAGAACAAAAATAGTAATAAAAAAATAATGATCAAACTTGAAAAAAAAAACCATGAAGGATCAAAATTATAAAAAAAACAACAAC